ATTTTCTCTCTCTCTCTCTCTCTCTCTCTCTTGCGTTTTCCCTTCTCTCTATTCTTTTTCTTTCTTCCTGTCTCTTTTTATTTCTCATATTCTCCGAACAGTCGCGGAATTACCGCGATAACGTCGGATTTCCTTATCGAAATTTATCCCCGCCGCGATGGTGTAATTCTCGCGAAAGAGAATAGGGACGCGCGCGATTTTCGCCGAGAAAGAATGGTAATTCGCGTGCACGATTCGCGGGCGACAAAACGCGGGGCCACGTTAACCATTTGACCGCGCTACGGGTCGGACAGATCCGGTGAGTTGTGTCTGAAGAGCTATAGAGCGGAGAGAAGCACGTGATCTATGAGTTCTCTCCACTCCCGAAAAATGGTTAGAGACTGTTAGAAAGGTGAAAAACTAGATTTTCTATGAATGCATGATCAAACATTAAAATAGAAAAATTACACTTTATTCCACAATTTTGAATTTCCTCTCGCAGTTTTCCAGATATGGAATTTAGAAAATCGCACAGGATCAGTATAACCCTGTTCGCGGTGCGAGCGACTTTTCAGAAGCGCGCGAGTGGGTTAGCCGAAAGGTTAATTACAGGGGAAGGTGAACGCACGGAGAAAAAGTGACTGAATCGCGAACGAAGCGTCGTCGTGCGCGATTTTCGCGGACATCGCACGACGATTCGCGCCGGCTGTTTTCGACACGACGGAAATGGCTGGAGCTTGTTATATACTTTCGCATTATACCCGGCTGAACTCTCGTTCGCCGTTGATATTACACTAATGCCGTGTCTCGGCATTCTCTGAAAACCGCCGCGTACGGAAATTTCTGCGCGGCTACCGGGGTCTACCGCGGCAGTAATTGCAGAATTAGGTTTACGAGTTTCCAACTTATCGTGGGTTCGCACGCTCAAAGGGGCTAAAATATAATATTTGTAACGAAATGTAACGGCACGTCTATACACTTAAAACGGAATATCCGAAATCCTTTGAGAGAGGCGTATCTGAAATCCTTTGACGTTGTTCAGTACCTCAGCTTGTCCCCCCCCCCCCCCCCCCC